TGACCAGTAGAAACACAGAACGATCTGCTGCTGTAGACAACTGTATGACAACAACACCCCAGCGTTTTTAATATTTTCTCTAGGGATGTTACCACACAGAGTAAAAGGGGGAAATGATGGTGTGAAACAGCAGAGGCACTTTGTCAACCCGCTGAGTTAACGTTACTGTCATTAGCATCAAGCTAGCAAACAGTGGTACATCCTCACGGTCGGACATAAAGTAATAACATTAACAAATAGCTATGGGGCTTTTACTCACCACAACTGCAGAGGCTCCCAGCTTCATTTGAAACAAACTACATTATAGACAGTCCGTTATTTATTAATTCCTCTGTGTGTTTATATATTTACTTTTGATCCGCTCAGTTGTCTTTATAAAGTTAACATATCGCACCGTCATTTCAAACTCAACACTTGTTTCAAATTAAAAGCCCCTTATAACCTCGACTGAGAGAATCCTTCCATTTTCTAAATAGGCTTTTATTCTGAAACATTTGTCAGATCTTCCTGTGGAAGATACAGTAACTTGATAGTTTACTTATGGCGCTTCAAATGTAGCTCCTGCCATCTGTTGACGCTTTTAGGTGACTACAACAACATGTCGGCTGGCACATGAACAGACACAGTGACTCAAATAATAGTAAAAGTGATAAAAATAGGACAAGAATAACCCGATGACATCACACACGCCATGAAAGACGACCGGGGATAATTGGTGAGTAACAGCGTGTAGCATGTACCAGGCATAATGCAAGTCCTGAGTCTGAAATATGTCTGTCAGCGAGTCCTCCTCCACCTATTTAGACTCCACCGTAGAGAACGGCAGCATTTCTCTGACCACGTTGCGAGCCACAAGCTCCGTGGCTTCTTTCAGACTGATAGGTTTAACGCTATGTCCATTATTAGAACCAAACGACAGCCGTTGCTGTTTTGGAGCTGAAGGACCAGCGTTCTAAAAGTAACGGAAGTAACTGATGTCTTGTTTGAAAATGTACTCAAGTATTTGATTACTCAAACAGCAAACTGATGCGTTAGGTTACTAGTTACTGCAAAAACTAATCAAAGTACTCTAACGCGTTACTTTCTAACGAGTTACTTTGTAACGTGTTATACGTTGGTTTGGACCAACTCTGGTTTGGACTAAATATTTCGCTGGAATTAGATCGTCTGGACTACTGGCAGTGTGTGAGAAATCAACTCATAGCTGTGTTAGCAGAGTTTCTGCCTGGATAATATTGATCTGTGGATTATGATGATGCCTCATAGGTGAGTTTTAATTGTTTTTTTGACTGACATTTATTGAGCCTGCTGTGGTGTTTATATCTTGAAATTGTCAGCATTAATGGAACTTTGAGGAGTGTAGCTTTCGAACAATATGTTGTATGAGTAAACTACTTAAACAACAAGAAATGCAGCAGTTGTTTTACTTATAATCATCCAAAAATTACCTTAGGAGAGCATGTGGAGGGTAATCGGATTTCTGACAGTTTTAATGCGCAAAAGAAACATTGGCATAATATTTTCCAGAACCTAATCATTCACAAATTCACCTCTCAGATACTGACATCAGGTTTTCTTTAACATAGACATTGTACTGTACGGTACAATTAATTTTATATACAGTAGCAGTGTTTCTTCCTTTCTACAGTTAAGTCTAATGTTTTGAATCTCCAACTGATTCGACAAAAAAATCTCATTCAAACCAAACGTTGGCCCTAACATGATTTAAGGAAGTTTCTGTCAAGCTAAAAGCACAACTAGAATACCGCACAGGCTAGAAAAATGGCATCAACCTTGGAAATATAATTGCGTTTATGAAGAAACCATATGAAGAATAGGAGGGACGAAGTGATGGTGACATTCAGAGAAAAAAGGGAAGATAGTTTATATATAGTTTCTGGTTTCATTCTTGCAGTTTGAGTTTTTAAAGCCTCAAGCGTCTCACCTCATTGTAGTATGGACAGTTGGTGGACTCCTTCATGGACGTGTACTTCTTGTCGTCTCCAATCTCGACACACACCACGGGGTCCATGTTGAGGCCTATTAGCTGCCGGGCCTCGATCACTGTGATGCTGATCTGATGGTAGACATCAGTACATCAGACATGCTGAGACTGTGAGAGCTAAAACAAACAGACTTTCCTCTAACAGTTAACCAGCAGCGACACTATCACTATTAATCACACAACTTCACAGGGATTACCCGGAGGACAATTCAAAGACAGAAAAAACAAATTGATCTTTCACCAACTAATCATTCTAATTCAGGCAGTGAGGAATCTTGCTAGATTACACTTTTTCACCCTGTGTTTACTCTGACGTCTCCCCTGGCTGAAGTAATACAGAGCTGGATGGACAAAATAGATCTGAGCTAAAGGCTTTTTACATCCAAGCAATATCCCTCTGGTTTAATTAGCCGTTGGATGATGAAGAGAAGCACAGAGAGAAACATAAAAAAGAGAAAACAGAGGATAAGATTACACCAGGATTTCAGTCTGGTGAATAAATTTATTCATGTTCTTAAATAAAATAGGCCATGAAAACAGGCCATGGGCTGGCACTGGAGAACAGTTATACTGTGTCCACAATTATTCTTTTACTTCTTTTCACTGATGTTGTGGTGAATAAATTTCGTGTGGCAGCCACAGCAGACAAACAGCCATGAGTATAATCATGGCTTAGCACAAATATATATATCAGAGTAGTAAGAATTTTTTAATCTAACTCTCGGCAAGATAGCAAAGAAGTGCATTTTCCAAAATGAAGACAATTTTTCTTTTAAGGGTACTTCAATCCAGCACAATGTGGGGTAAATTGTTTTCTTGCTCTAGTTGTCTAACAGCATCTTTTGCATTAACATGGAAACAGTACTTTGGCTTTTTTCTTCTCCCAACCATCCTGCCAGTTGTACACCAAAATCACACACATATCATTATCATGTCAGAGGCATCTATACACAAACAACACAATTTAAAAGTCAAAGTCTCAAGAGAAGTAGACAAAAGTGGAGAGGAAGATGCACAAACCAATATCAATGAACCTTCACAGACTTGTATGTGCAGATATTAGGGGTGGGGAAAAAAAATTCGATACAGCAATATTTTTGTGTGGCAATATTGTATTGCCACACAGTACCAAGTATTGCCAAGTTTCAGTTCCCTACATACATTTTGCCACAAATAATATGATTAAAGTGAGATTTTCCTTTGGCAACATAATTTACAGTTGAATAAAATATATCTATTGCAATACTTGCAGCACGTTTAAAATCACAATAATATTGTGACTGAAGTATCGTGATAATATCGTATTGTAAAGCCTTATGTGATTCCCACCCCTTGCCGATATAGAAGTAGAAATGCACATAGCACACACACACCTGGTAATCCACTGGGCGTCCAGAGCTCGGCTCCATTTTGATGTCTGGCTTTGACCTTAAGAAACACAAAACAATCTGTGATTATAACCTGCACTCCGACAGTGAAAAGAGAGGTGGCACACGATTACAAACTCCATTCCGATCCCTGATTTTAATACTATTCAGTCGTATTTGCTTGCAATGAAACTTCTTTTCAATCTTAATCTTGATATTAATATCACTAGATGGAATCCTGACTTTTTAAAACAAAGTGGTCACAATGTATGACAGTTAACAGTGTCCTTTCAAACAAGCTTCACCAATCCACTGGTTCACCAAAAGTGTGTTTTGTCTCCTCTCCTTATATTCTTGACACAAAATGCTCTTAAGGTATATAGCAGAACAGAAACACTGAAACGTGTGTTGATGATTCTGTTATACTAAACCTCTTGGAAGGAGAAGAACAAGGACATGGGGCAGTGGTTGATGACTTTTTGTAATGATATAGAGAATCTTTTTCTTGAGTTAAACGTGTCTAACACCAAGGATATGATGGTTGTCTCTAGGAAGTCGGCACCCTACCCAAAACTGACATAGGGGAATGAAACTGACTTAGTGGAAAATCACAAGTATACAACAACAAGTTGAGCTTCCAACCAAATGCAGATGCAATTTCTAAGATGGTCCAACAACGTCTGTAACTCTTGAGAAATTTTGTTTTAATGTGTGCACTCAAACGATACCTCTGTGTTACAGACGTTTCATTGAGTCTGTTCTGTGCTTCTGTATTTTGGCTTGGTTTGGGAACCTGAATATGGTCAATAAGAACAGGCCTGGGGCCTCATGTACAAAGGGTGCATAAGCACAAAAACGTGGCGTACGTCCTTTTCCATGGCAAAGTTCAGATGTATCAATAGTGAAATGACCGTGGAAATGTGTGGTGCCTCACGCCAACTTCATGGCTGGCGTACGCACATTTCTACAGCTGTTGATCCTTTGGCGACACTTAGAGGTGATGCTGGGAAACTGTTATAATAAATAAATGTGAAAACAATAAGTCCTCAGAGTGATGTGCACATCAGAGACACATGAACAATTAACACTGATGAACAATTAACACACCCACATGTCTGCAATTAGATGAGTGGATATAAAAGCATGCGCAAAGTGGTACCAAAAATACCGTTAACAACAACGGCTGCTTTAGCAGTATTTGCCGCACTGGTTCCCAAGGGCAATCCTCCTGGAACTGTGCACAGAGCTGCGGCCGACCTTGGAGCGCGATACGGCGAGGAGCCATGCGCTGTATCCATACAGGTGCTGACCACACCGGGACTCCTAGCAACACGGGAATTCCAGAGGGAGCTGGCCGACCGATCGGGACTGTGCCAGTCGACCCTGAGCCGAGTCATGCCAGCTGTGTGGGACGGAATTATCCGCATGTCAGCCAGGTATATCAAATTCCCATATGCAGCTGAACAGGCCAACATTAAAGCGTAATTTGCAGCGAGAGCCGGTTTTCCTAATGTTATCGGAGCTATCGACTGCACACACATTATAAAAGCGCCATCACAGGATGAATTTGTTTATGTCAACAGGAAGCATTTTCATTCGATCAATGTACAGATCATATGTGATGCGCAAATGCAATTAACCAACATTGTGGCGAGGTGGCCTGGTTCAACGCACGATTCATAGCCTACATTCTGAGTAACAGCATGGTTGGGAACAGACTACAAGCTGGCACTGTGCGCGATGGGTGGCTTCTTGGTGAGTAAATAATTTATTCATTTAATTGTCCTAATATTAATCCCCCTGATGCGCACTGAGCATGTGCGCCCCCAAATATGATCCTGTCTTCACAGCATCAGTACTAGTCAGTGGTTAAAGTTAGTGACTTGCTGTTTTTTGCTGGTTAAACTACAGCTTCAGAGCTTTCGAACAAGCCCCTGATTGTCTCTGTGTGTAAAGTACTCATGTCAATAAACCCGTGTGTAAAGTGCGACATTTCTTAATCAGCCACACCTTTTCCCCGGCGCACTTCGGCATTCATTTACAACAATAGTGTGTGATCCGTGTAAGTGGTGTATACAATTAATAAATATAAACTGTAAATCCAGTTCACATAATTAGGCTATTTGTCTGCTTTCAATTGACCCCAGGCGACTCTCTGTTCAAACGGGGTGAGCTCTTCCTCTCCTGCCCCCCCGCATGTTTTGGCCACACTTTGGCGGTGGGCAGCCCTACTCCGCTTCACGTCCACCTTAATGTCGGATCACTTCTTATTTAATTCTGCGTGTGTATGCTTTTCTGTCCCCACAGCATTGACAGCCTCACACACTCTCTCCCACTCACTCCTCTTGCGTTTAGTATTGATGCCGGAGGACAGTGTGCCAAAAAGTACATCTTTGCGCACCTCCACTTAAGTGAGAAGTGTCTCCAATTCGCATTCTGTGAAGTTTTTCTTTTTTCCCCCGTCTTATTCATTCTTTTGTTTTAGTTTTCTGATCGTGCAGACAGGGGAATCTCAGGTGCAGGGCCATTTAAATATGATTTGCATATTTAAATAGGGGCGTGGACAGGGAGGGACCGAGTACTCCAACATGTGCGCTCAATTCCACGTTGATTGGGATGTACAAAGGAAATGTGCTTGGATTCATGTGTATGCAGAGATTCCACATCTGGATATTTTTGTGCGTACGACGTTTTCTGGATTTAAGCGTACGCCATGTTTCAGTAGGAAATCCACGCAAGTCTTTGTACATGAGGCCCCAGGTCAGCTTGTCCAAATGGCCAGCAAAGTTATTGAAGTGTGTCAGCTGCTGCAGCTGTCTGACCTCTACTAAAGGCAGGTACTAAGGAGGGCCCAGGACATATTGAACTGGCCAGATGATCCCCTGCAGAGGGAGTTGAAGCTCCTGCCTACAGGCTGTGGATACAGAGTTCTTGCTCAGAGGACAAAAAGATACTGTCTGTTTGGTTTGCACAGCAGTTAGTAGCCTGAATTTGCATGTGATCTAGACACATAAGCACTTTTTGTATTCAGCATTCAGCTGTTTCCTGCACTGTCTTTGAAGTTATCTCGGATTTGTACGCATTTGTACTGCTTGTCGTTATAATCTGTCCAGCATGTTGCATTACATGGATATAATGAATCTGTTTGTATACCTGGCTGCAACAAATTCCCATGGTGGAATAATAAAGTTTGCCCTAACTTCATTTTAAGTTTGAATCTCAAACTGTGAATGCTCTCATTTTTCCATCTTCCCGGGCTGAATAATTTTATTCTCAGAAATACATGCCAATAAAAGGCATCACTGTGCAACCAGCATCAAATTATCCTGCAGCATCAGCAGTTTGAGATGTACAGAAATGACTGGGGTCGTTAAGGATGTGTGTATCTGAGTGTGCTTCTCTACTATGTGTGTGTATTTGAGTGTGCTTCTCTACTATGTGTGTGTGTATGCGTGTCTCAGTGAATGAACAAAAATGAGACCTCTTGTTGGAGACGTTGGTGGTGACAGCAGTGACAGAGGCCAGAGAGATGGTGTCTGGGTCCATTGCTCCAGCAATTCGCCTCGCCTTCCTGTCCATGTCCTCCATGTCCAGGATCGCCGGCTCATCTGGACAACAATATCACAATGGTAACATTAACAGAATCATCAAAGAATGTATTCTTGGCAGGACCACATCAGTAACTACTACTGAGGACACTGAGGTCATGTCTTCTCTACCTTCTGTAAACTTTAGGTGGGGTTTATATTCTACAATTCACTACATCACTTTGTGGATATCTAAGCTGATTTCCGTCATTTTTCTCTTTTATGTATTTAAAGAGGACCTACTATGTTCATTTTCAGCCTCATACTTGTACTCTGAGTTTCTACTACGACACGTTTACATTCTTTAATGATCAAAAAGAAATTACTTTTCCTCATACTGTCTGTGTTGCAACATCTGCATTCATACTCTGTCCGAGATGCTCCCATTAAGCCCCTGCTCCAAAAAAAAGCCCAGTCTGCTCTGATTGGTCAGCGTTTCCAGGTATTCCTTATCTCAGCATCTCTGCACTGTTATTGCAGCTGGGGAATGACTGTAATGGAGTATAGAGGTACTTTCTGCCTTAAAAAATCGACAACTCTAAACCAAAACTTAACAATCGGACTTGTTCCAGCAGGAATATGATCCGATATTGGCAACCAAGATTACACGTTTCCCCGACGTTAGCATGTAGCTTCATGCGGCAGTGTTGGCTATGTCATGTAAAGGCTTGCAGGAGTGTGCCTGGAGCAGATGGTCATATAATCCAGCACACTTTGACATCATACTGTAGCCAGAGCATAAAAACATTTGTAAACAGAGTACTCACAACAGTCTCAAGCCTGACGTGTTTGCTCACAGGGATAACTTTTGTTTATGTTTACTAGGACTTAAGACAAATAGCTCGTGCATCCTCACTGTAACCCTGTATGTGAAAAAACAAAATACGAAAAAGAATAATAGGTCCACTTTAATGTACACTTCTTTTAGGCCTATACATTAACAAATTATTCAGCAATTCCCTACCAGAATTTTATTCCTGGCAGTGAGACAAAGGCTTGACATAGAGTTTAAATGTTAGGAAAAAAATAAAGAAAATACAGACAACATAGTTGCGTGTTATCAGTTAATGAGATGTTTAAACCCCCCCAAATTAAAAACAGTTTTTAATTTATCACTTCTGTCTGGGACAAATTCTGTCACAGAGTGGGGCTCAGGCTCATGACCTCAGGATTTCCTGGCTATGGCCTTAATCAGTAAATATAAATGATGTAATCATTCAAAGTGTACAGGAACACAAGTACCTGGGCACTATCACTAATAGCTAACTGACATTGACAGCTAACACCAATGCTAGGGCTCAACAACATCTCAACTTTTTAAGGAAACTTGTACGTTTTACTGTGGACAGAATCCTGTTATTGTTTTACAAGGCCTTCACTGAGAGTATATTAATCTTTTGTACTCATTGTTGCGGGGGAGCGTTGTGTTTACAAAACAAGAACAAATTGAACAGGGTTGTTAAAACTGGGTGGCAAGATGACAGGGGAACCAATGTGGAGTTGTGACTTAAAGGACAGACCAGTACACCATAAATCTCACTAATAAGATCATAGCGGATCCACTGCATCCTCTATGGTCTGAATATGCACTCTTGCTTTCAGGGCGAAGGTGTAGCACGCCCAGGATGCAAACGAAAAGATAATTTGTCCCACGCAGCATTCATCTGCTAAACAAGCTCTGATCACATAATCTGGAATTGGCACTTCTTGAACTTAATGTCCTTTATTGATTTTCCAATAATGTTTTTTATGACATTTTATGATGCTTATGTTTTATGTGATGTGTTGCTGCGGTTTTTATGTGTATCTATATTTTTATGCTCAGTTACACAAAGCAAATTCTTCTTAAGGCAATAAAGGTTTCATTTCATTCATTCAATCATTCAAATAGTTCTACATGAACCATATGATTAATAATAACTTGAGAATTGGGCTACAACATGTATTTTCCTTTCAGCTAACTTACAAGATTTGGATACAAATTGCCGAATTTACAAAATTGGTGGCACTGTGATGCAGTGGTTAGTGGTGTTGCCTCACAGCAATAGGGTTCCTGGTTTGAACCCAGGGTGGTGGTTTTTCTCCGAGTACTCCGGCTTCCTCCCACAGTCTAAAGACGTGTGTGCTAGGTTAACTGGTGACCCTAAATTGCACATAGGTGTGAATGAGCGTGAATAGTTGTCTGTCTCTATGTGTTAGCACTGCAGTAGTCTGGGGCTGTCCTTACCAGGGTGTGTCCCACCTCTGGCCCAAAGTCCCCCTGACCCCCAAAAGGATAAGCGGTTATGGAAAATGAATGGACAAAATGTTTAAACAGGGCTTGTCTTCTGTCTTGTGTGTCGTTTTACCTCTCTTGTGATCGTCCTTTGAGCTCTTGATCTTGCCGAGCTTCATGGCTGAGAAAACTCCCTTCCCTGCTCTGGTGAAGGAGAAAGAGAAGGCAGAAGGGAGGAGAAAGGAGAGAGAACTTACTTTACATATCATGAAAGTGAACTTCTTCAAACTCAGACCCACAGGGGAAAGTGATTAATGTGAGGTACTGAACTTGACTTGACTGAACTTGTCAGAAAACCCCACGGGCCATTAGTGGACACAATCAAAATGCAACCCAACACTACAAGGTATATCATAGCCATCTTTGTAACTCGGCTAGACATTTAATTCCAGTGGATCCAACCCCCTCCACCCCCCTTCATCAGCGCCACCAATTCTCCAGACCCTCAATCACAAAACAAGAGTATCCGGTGTCTCCACATTGATAATATCTGGATCACATGTCACCACAACAACAAAGCGCTTGTGATGTCATCAGCGGGACGACAAATGAGGGGCCTTAATAATTAAAAATGAGTGTGACCGTCCAATTTGCTGCGGATATGGATACATGTCAGGACATTAATGAATAGGAAGGTTTTCCTTTTGTTTCCTCAAACATTCAGAGTCGAGTGTATCAGAGTTCAACTTCTGCTTTGATCTTTCCCCGTTATTCTAGAGGCAACCTTCAACCTCATTTCATGGAATACAGAAAACTGGATGGTTTTACATTTCAGTTGAGTGCCAAGAGTGATTTGAAAGTAAAAGCCTGGAGGCATGTGAATGGGAAAATAAAAGTCAAGACAGACAGAGGAGTCATTCATCAAAAATAAAGGCAAAAAGCTTTTTGAGTCAAATCAAATCAAAGCTTTTCACACTTGAAATGTGCTCCTTGGACTCTCTCTCTTTCACCTGTGTCATGTCTACAGTATAAAGCACTCTGACCAGTGTATTTCCAGCTGATCTACAAGCTAACTGAACAGGAATTTTAAATACCTTTAAATGTAACATCGGTTAATTGTAGCTGAAATGCTAATTAGACAATTAATTAGACAATCTACAAAGAAATCTAAAGCAATTCATAAAGTAACCTTGGCCTGTGACATTTTATAGACTAGATAATTAAATCAAGTAATTGGAAAAAGCATTTATTGATAATTAGATTACCATGTGTTGCAGCCCTGGTTAATCACAAAACCAGAGGCTCCGGTAATGCAGTCCACCTCCTTGTCTCATTAATGCTATGATTCAACGGTGAGCTGCTGAAACTAAAAAACACACACCCACACACAAAATGTGTTTCATACATACCACATGAAAGACACTACTGATCCTACTCAACTCCACAGAGAGGTCAGATCACCATAAACCTGCCCCCAACAAAATTCATCCAAGAGCCTCTTTCTATTTTCAACTATATTTCCATATTCTTCACCTGTCAGGTGCAGATCCTCCAGACCAACCAGGCAAGATAACAGTTGGACCAGATGAGTGGATGATGTAGGAGAGAGGAGGGGAGGGAGAGAGAAAGAGGTGGAGGTGCATGGCTGGAGATACAGAGAGAGGAGGAGGAAAAGGGGGAAGGATGGAGGGGGTTGGGCTCTGATCACCACCAAAGAAGACTGTTGCTGAGGTGTATACGGAGAGCCTCAAGAGTTTATGAAATGATATGAATGTCATGTTATATTGTACTTTAAGACTGAGACGAGACAACACTTGAACATGTTTGATCAACTAGTTAAAAAATGCGAATCTCAGTGACACCATGTGTTTGGCCATATGCAAACGCAGGGAGTAAAACTGACAGAATGACCTTAAATCAGATCAGCTAGGAAAAAACACCTTTCACAGCAAAAAGGAAATGTTAATATCTTAAGGGCCATCCACACCAAGAACTATAATAATGATGTTAAGCATCCACACTGATGAACGATAATGTTTATTATACAGTGGCACCTAGCACGCGCTACACACTCCAGCTGTGACACCCTGTACATTCGGATGGATTCTGATTGGCTGTCAATGTTTCTGTTGTTCATCACAACACTCTGAAAGTGATCCAAATACTATTGTTCGCCACTGTTGTTGTCTTTATAGTCGTGTGGATTCATCCTGTCACCCACTTCGGTTGAAAGGATATTTTTATTATTAGTGTTACGGCTATCATTCTTTACTCTGCTGCAGCCAAACAAACAAACAAACAAACATTTGTCTCTTTACTACTGTACTTATGTCAAAATTGTACTGAACATTCCTTGGAGGGTTACCTTAATATTAACATTACAACTACATGTCTAACCCTAACCCTAACCCTAACCTTACCTATCCTTAATTTCACACCTTGTTTTAGAGCCTATAACAAAGTGAATGCCAGTCTTGCCTGTTCAATATGGCGGTGATGACATATTGCAACAATGAGCTGAAGCACTCAATGCAACATTGGTATGTGACAAAGTGACAAAGCAGCATTCCAAGTAAGTTATTAATAACTTTCAGAAATACAGCATGCAATAGTCCACCTTCTCTTTCCCTCTCTCTGTCTATCTCTCTCTCTCTCAAACACACACACAGCGGTGCTGCAGTGCTTAGTCATTTGCAGGGCTTGACGCTAACGTTTTTCCCAAGGAGCACATGTGCTCCTAAGTTGAAAAAGTAAGGAGCGCACAAAGAACTTTAGGGGCACAATGTAAATTGATCAAATAATGTGTTTTCCGTACTAAACGTGATGCAAATAGACATTTACAAGCAAAATTATTTAATGAATTTTAAATAATTTTGCTTGTAAATGAAAAAAAAAATTATTGAATGAATTTGTATACAAAATGCACAGAAAGGTAAAATCATCAAGTTTTGAAAAAGTATTGCAATTTAATTTTGTTTTTGATGTTGTCTTATGTATACTGAGGTGAGAGACATCCCGCAATTGGGACCCATGGTACAATACCAGTGAAAGTATCATGGTTCTGAGGCAGATGTGCCTTTTGTCATTTATAAAAAGATAAATCACTTTTCTATAATACATCAATGATATATTTCAATGGAATAAATTACTTATTGACTTATTCATACTTCAAAAACAGCATCAATAAGTGATTAACATAGGGGGGATCAAAATAAAATAAATAAATGAAATAAAAATCAACCAGCCACCCTCCTCCCCTGACAAGTTCCTTCATAAGTAACGAACAGTCCCTAAAGTTTCTCCTCTGATACGCCACATACTGTGTGCTGCCATGGCTCAGCTGTTCAGGTACTTTTGGGCAGTCATGACAACAAGTTATTCACCTAGAGCCGGACTTCTTCGCCGGTAAGCTGTTATAATGTGCCGCTGTATTTGACAGGAATATGTATTCCTGTCTGTGTCTGTGACCACCGGTCAACCCACAACCGGTGGAATTCGCCGTTACTGTTTATCGCCACACTGCCAACATTTTACTCTGTCCGTCACCGCACGCTGTTTGATTGCGTTATCAAAACACGCTGCTATTATTCGGCCTTGCTTTTCACTTATTCCACCGAATACCGAATGTGTATTTTTGCAATATTCGGCCGAATATATTCGGTGCATCCCTAAATAGGAACCTTCCCCCACTCCCCTCACCGCTGCTCTCCTCACTGCTGCGCTGTGCAAGTGCACAGATGTCTCAGAGTGGTGGTGCATTTGCAAAAATGTTTTGAAGGAGCAGCAGCGGTGGCAATAATTTAAATGAATGTAGCGGAAACACTGATGTTATTACTATCCTAAAACATTCTCCAGGTCCTCTGAAACTCTGCAGGACTTATTTCCACCCTGGCCAGCAGCGGTACCGTGGCGAATGGTCCCTAACTGTGGGGAGAACAGAGCAGGCCTCCCTGGAGGTCCGCCGCTTTTCCCGGTCCGTCTCCTCCACACTTGTTTCCACCCTGCCGACAGTGGGACTTATATTCACTGTGCCGACAGTGGCTTGGAAAACCGCCCATAACGTCAGGGCCTGCCTTGCCTGCGAAGTGCAGCGCACCGAAATTCTCCCGCTAGCCAGAGCACTTCCGTTCACATCAGACGCGCATTTCTCCATGCTGGTCGATAAGCGGTTCTGTTCCCAGCTGTTGTCTCTGTCACATTTGGGGCTGTTTTTCCATCATGGGTAACTACCCAGCTTGACACATTTGCTCGCGGCTCGCACAGAAAATAGACCAGACGCCGAAATGATCACTGCAGGGCCGGCGGCGGAGCTGCGCAGCACAGCCGGTGTGGATGACACAATGGGTTAACATGGGCGCCGAAAGGAAACTGGCTTCACTTTGAGGCGCTTTGAGGCTATTCGCGGCGCTTTGAGGCTATTCGCGGCGCTTCCGCGGGCAGTGTGGTTCTTAACCATGTCACACGGGGAAGAGGGAAGAGGGAAGGTGGCTGGAGTTCCTCCAACATTTGCGGTTAGATTATCATATTTTTTTATTGACAAAAATAAAGGCTGCTTCGGCTGATTTTTTTATGTGCACATGTGCCCCTAAATATTTTTTACAGTTCGCACACACCTATTTTTAGTCGCAAATGCGAGTGAAACGCTTGCACTGTCAAGCCCTCATCTGTCTCTATCTATCTCAGTCCGGACAATTGTGCTCCTATAATGCACGAGTTTGGCAATTAGTGAGTCCGGTTTGGGTTTGGATGGTCCATCAATTGGTTGGTGATACAGCTAGCCAACTGTAAGCTGTGGTAAGTTATGTTATGACTCACAACTGAGCAAGCAAATCGCTGATGTTCTAGTGTCTGTATCACGTAGGGGAGGGGTTATGTTGAGGATAGCTCCAGTGCGTCATTGAGCCATGATATCAGGCCGATCCAAAAAAATCCCAGACACGAAAATAGTGAAAAACTACAATTCGGCACTGTATAGTTCACGTGTTTTCAGCAGTTGTTTTCACACATATCTAACATAATGTGTTCTGAGAAAATCTCGATTTTACTTTACATGGACTTTAATCTCGAAGGAGTCTAATATTAATGAGCACTGTGCTTACAATGCTGACAGATCATTGATCCCACGACGTGATTAATACAATGTGGCACACCCCCCTGCACCTCCCAACACACACAGGATATTATCAGTCATCTTCACAGTTGCT